GTGCTCGAAAAACCGCTGTTGCCCAGCTGTGTAATAACGAAGGCTTTTGAGGCGTATGAGTCTTTCAGCAATACGCAAAACTGATAAGGGAGTTTGCGAAATAAACGCCGCGGTTAAGAGCGTGTGGATCGAAAAAGTTAGCCAAAGGAGACATTTAGTAAATAAGCAGGCAGGTGTAAGTTTGTTATGACCCAGCGCAATTAAAAGCTACGACGCATATACTAATTATGACAGTATGCTTCAACATTCCAGGATTCCAGCATAATTCTGCACCGCGTCATCGGTGCTGCAGTAATCAAAACGCCAAAAAGAATGTGGTTTACCTCTATCAAGTTAGTTCTAAAACCTTTTTTTCTGCGTATTCTATTTTTCCATTCTCAAGACCCCGAATTAACACCGGTCCTGTACGGCAGAATGGTGGGGTTTGGGGTTCATAAACTCCACTACTTAAACCACCTTAACTTCTATGCGTAATGCTTATTCGCTGCTTTCGACCTATGAACTATCTCATAAGAGATTTCCAGTCTCTTTGGAACAATATTTACGGTAGTCGGTAATTGTACACTGATCTGTTTCAGGATGTACCCATCCTGGTTGATGCCTTTTCGAATCTTGGCACACCAAGTGTATAGGTTGCAAAGCGAAGAGTAATGTAACATTACTTTTGTAACATATATACTTGGGGTACGAAGATTCGCAAAGGCATCAACCAGGATGGGTACACCCTGAAACAGATCGGTGTACAACTACGAACTACTATCTATACTCCCGATCATAAACCAACAAGACTGCAGACTCGTGACTCAATTGTTAGAGCGTTTGCCTCTGGTCAGAGAGACGCGAGTTGGACCCTCGAGTGTAGCGGCAATTTCCGCTGCTACACTGGAGTTGCGTATCTCCTCTTGACGACGGCAAATAAGCTAGAAAAGGCCTTCGTGGATGCCCCTCTATCGTTGTCGCTAATACATAAAATATTTACTGTGTTTGTTCTAAATACAGTTAAAAGAAAAGTAAGCTTGCATACTCTATCTGGGGAACGGCTGCAGGAGAACCTGCAACTAGCAGGTTTCGCCAAGTATCAATTTCGAAAAAAGGTCCTATAATGGTTTGCCCAGTTGATTTAATATCAAAACCAAGACCATAAAATAAGTATAGAAAATAATACGCGCCATTCACGGCATGCAGAGGGGCATATTTTTAGAACTGCATCTTGAAAAATTGAGATGCACGCATTGACAGTCGAGAGACCACTAATTGTTGAATAACTATTTGTCAAACAAGATATCTGACGCTCACAGATCAACCCTTGTCCACCAGGAATCCGTTTGGAACTTCTCACAAAACCCAGCTTGCGGAAGATGCTAAAAATTAGCCGGTTTTGTCTGCTTTATCTTTATCGGCCATTTAATTGTTTGCGTACGTTTCTGGAGAATTTAAGTAGTTGACGTGCTCTACGTGCACAACACAGTCGGAATCAGACTTTATTACAACCAACGTCTGGATATCTAAGCGATAAGGGGCACATCTAGCCCAAGTGTGATAGAATCAATGTTTGGGTATTTAGAGCACTTACAGTATTGCGAGTGCTGCAAGAGACTCTACTGACGAAAAATAATTTTGTAGTTTAGCGTATATTTTGCCGGGTTATTTTGATCAACTGAGTGGATTTAATAATTAGATGGGCTTTAGTTTGGAAAAAATGACCTTTTAGTTAGCGTTATGGAGTAAAATAGGCACTAATTTGGCTAAATCACGAGTAAGTTTATAGTGAAGAAATTTCCTATGTTATAAGGTACGACACAACCAAACTTTTTATAAATATGCATTGTGCTATGGACAAACTCCAGAATAAGTACAAACTTAGGCAAGT